ATCTCTGAATGTATTAAACATTTTTTCAACCCTGATGATGACCCCATGTTTGAGTTGAAACTTCGGCACCAATAAAAACTTTATAATGACTGCGGTGAATATTTATCAGCCATCATAAGTTGAACATTCGATAAACTTCGGCAAAATAGTTTGGCTAGCAGATTCGGCTTGAGGTAATGCTGGTGGTTTTGATGATTCAAATTTCCTATGTTCCTATGTCTACCAAACTAATTTTGCAACTTTTATATATTCACATATATTATATATATTTTATATATATATACATTCTGAGTCCTAAAAATAATGTTTTGTTATATAATTAGTTGAAATGAATCTAATAAATTCTAAAATTTCCTATTTTCATAAGATTCCTTGTCCCGACGACCTTAACGGTCTTACTGCAATCCAAATGTTCTAAACCTATTCTAAGCAAGATTGATTCGTTTGGAGTGACTTCCACACCGAAAAAGTTAAAATAAAAGAGGTTGCATAGCTCAAACGATATTTTTATAGCCCAATTTTTTTTTTTTTTTTTTCATCATATTATCTTACGATTGAAATGGAAAGCGAATGGGTATTCGTGAGTCTCTAGTACCTAATTAAATAGGCAGTTTGCCGATCTTCAGGTTGAAAACGTCCCAATACTGAGAATTTTCGCAAATAAAATATTTGTAGGTTACAATGAGGTGATGCTATTTACGAAGTTTCAGTCGGATGTTAATAATTTGATAAAAAGGGGCCTGTACCACGGACCATTGGTCTGCCAATATTTTTACAAAAAGATGGATTTATATTAATGTTTATTCTCAAGAACGATATTTTCTTTGTAGAACTATTTTGTGTGTTTTAAATTCATTTTAAAATATTTTAAATTAAATTGAAATTCTTGACCTGTTTAGAGAAAGTGAAACTCCCCTTTTTTCTATGCTGCGAGTAGGATTTCTTGTGACTGAATAGTTTTGTGGAAGTACGTAGCATGATATGAAGTTCCTGTACCCTCAATTACTGGTGGCAATAACATAACGGTATTGTAATCACCAAGAAAAAAAACTTTTAATGCAGGAAGAAAGTTCGATGCAGGTGTTGCATTGGGGCTGAAGGACATAAAGGTGTACAGTTATGGAGTGGTCACACTCTTCTGTCATGGTTCGGTTTTAGTATCCTTCTTGTCCGTCTTCTTCGGCCTCTTCTCTCAGGGTCGTTGTGCTCTTGTAAATTTGCCGATTCTTGTAACAGGTTACATTGTTATTTTAAGGAGCAGTGACAGTACAAGTTCATTAATAAATAAAATAAGACTGTTACAGCCCAGCGAGAACTCTCACATTAGGATAACTATCGAAGGAAGTTAATCGACTGTTCTACATATCATGAATGATAAATATTTAGGACGCAGTCTTCTTAAAAAAAAAAAAAAAAAAATTAATTTTTTATTTATGCCAACGTTTCAATCTTCAGGGCGTGGTTTGAGCACTGAGGGTGTTCAAGTACTCAGAAGATGACCCACATGTTTGGGTTGAAACGTTGGCATAAATAAAAAATTATAAAAAAATTTTGTTTAAAAAATACTGCTTCCTGAATATTTATCATTTAAGATAACTATCCTTCTCACTAATGCATACTACGTCAGATAAACATTATTCTTAAATACAATATAATATTATCAAGATTTATACTTTACCACAACTGTGAAAGTAACGATTTACTTGATAATTGATTAGCTTGTTCTACTGTAAAATATTCTTCAAGTTCAACTGTTAGTAAATGAGTAACAGCTATCCCTGAACTTGTACTAATCCATTATTGCACTCTCTCAAGTTCTATTTGTTTGGTGCGGAAGTTCCTTGGTTTGTTATTTCCTCACTTCCTAAGAAATATATATAATATACCTAAGAAATATATAAGTGTATTACTGAGAGTATAGAACTGGATGTTTTTTTTAATTTAATTTAAATTTTTTTCAAACATTTCAAATGAAATTGACTAAAATCTTCTGCGTAATAAATTACATGACACAATATTTTACAAATGATATATATTTTTTTCTAAATAACAAGATCAATACAATGTTCTACGGTGATATAGACAGAGAATTAATAAATAACAAGCGCTTGAATAGGGTTTGAAACCGATAATTAAAAAAAATCATTTGATGATTTTTATTAAGAGCTATTTTTTAAATTTTTGATCATAAGTGAAAAAACCGTATCCTGATCATTATTTTTGAACACTATTTTTATAATTAACAATAATAATAATAATTCTTGAGTAATATTTTTGTTTAAAATCAGAAATTTAAATTTTCTGTAATTACCCTATGATATATTTTGAGTCTGGGGGTAGGTGGTGAATATCTTTGTCAACAATTAATAACAGAATATATTTATTTTCGAAACTCATTAGAAATTTTGGTTTCTAAAAAAAAATCAAATAAATAAAAAAAAATATATATTGTGCAGGTACCGTGTGCACAATTAAAGTGATTTCAGAAATATAATAATTATTACATGATTTTATGGAAAAAATAATTATCAATAATTTCAAACCATGCTTTTGAAAATGAGCACAGAATAAGCCCGCAGTGTCAAGATAGTAAAAATAATATAAAAATCCGAGTAACTCTTTCTAATAAAATTTAAAATGTTTATAATTAATACAGAGGCTCTGCCTTAGTGTATTAAAAAAATCCTATTATAAAACGCTTCATACCACACCCTCGACTTATATTGGTTATTCTAGAGATCTTGTATTATATAATTATTTATATACATGATACTTAATTTTACAAGCCGGTATGTATCAGCTAGTAAATATGCCTATGTATAAAAAAAAATTGCTCTCACTGCTACCATGTTTAAACTAACTTGGAACTGAGTCAATAAAACTGTTTATTTGTCCATCGCTCCTTTCCGAGGTGTAAACATTCTCCATGTGTGTAGAATTTTATTTAAATACCTGAACCATGGCTGGATGGTTTGGCTTTTGCTCAGAAATCTAGAATATATTTATATAAAAAATAAAAAAAAATTAATATGATCATTTATGTTTTATTTGTTTAGTCTGTTTCTCATTTTACGTTTTAAACTGTCTATTTTAGGCATAACTTATACTTTCCAATCACGGGTCTAACCACATTATTATTATTATATAATCTAAGTATAAATATAATTATATAATCTAAAATACGCCTTAATAAATTGTTATTTAATCATTTAAATCTTTCTTATAACTTAGATAAAAAAGTTTTTGAATATATATGAAATTACAAACTATCTACCTTTTTTTTTTTGCTAGACCGTATCTTCATCAAATCGAATCATTTCGGAAATTATCTTTCAGTCATGAAAAAAAGAAAAATATATTTGCGAATAACTCAAAAAGTATATAACTTAAGGTGTTTATGAGCGCATTAATTAGAAACGTTTTCCAATTTTCTACAAAAGGGAAAAGAATTTATTGAATTTGGATCATTTCTAACAAAAATAAAGCCAATAATAATTTGTACTCATATTTGTATATATTATTTCTAATAAAAATTAATTTATTTTTCCCCTGATACATTTCATTTACTTATTTCTATATCATTTGCTTGGTAACGAATACATAGAGAGAGAGAGAGAGAGAGTGGGAGGGAAAAGTGATAACAGAAAAAGTTAAAAATATCCTTTCTGGTTTGACTAAATTAATAAAAACAATAATTTCGACTCCTCCAGGCGCGTAAGATATACCATTCCGCACGACAAACGATCATAGATTCTTGTTATTTTCATTCTTGGAAAATATCCATTGCAATATAACAAGAACTTTAGATAAAGAATAAAATTATGAAAATATTAATAAAATCATGTACTAATTTATGCAAAATAAAATAAAAAGTTTCATTAGAACAGTGATTTCACGAAGAATATAAAACTAAAAAAATATAAATAATCATTGAATACCTAGCAGATACAAATCAATACTTGAGCTAGTAGCATTTATATAAATACATCTTAAAAATATTTGTATCTAATATTTATGAAATTTGTTCATATTTTATTAAGAGAAATTGATTTTTGCTAACAAAATACAATTTCAAACAATACTATCATTCTCCGAACAATCATGAAACTGTAAAAATACTACTGCATTGAATTGGTTTAAAGTAAATAATTTGTTAAATAATTGTTTACATTCATTACATCTTACATAGATAGATAGATAGAAAAAAAAACTTTATTCTGGGACTAAGTCCCTTCAGAATAACAATAATGTACAAAATAATAGAATATTACTGGCCTGTACGTTTGAAACAATAAAATAAAATAAAAAGTAAAGAAAACCTTAGGTGCACAAACTATATACAATAAAGATAAAACTATGTACAGAGCGTTCACAATTATGAACAAAACAATCAGAACTACGAACGAATCACTTGAACTATGAACAAAATTATATATAAGGGTTGAACAACATAAACATACACTTTGAGAAATGAAGAACGAACATACGTGATATCCTGTACAGGTCTTATGGATTATCCGCCTAGTCTCGTGGATTTGTATTTAGTTGTTATTATATTGCAACGAACCTATGTTTAGTGCCCAGTTTCTATGACTTTTTATGTGATTTTTCAGTTTTTTAAATATAATATAAATATAAAGTGAGTCATAATATAACAATTATTTATTGAATAGTTGACCGTTGCATTATAAAGGAAGGAGATGGTCCGGGGCAGCGATCATAAATAGGCTAAATAGTGACAAAAATATTTTATTAAAAGCCAACGTTTGGACCCGACTTTCAGCTCTAAGTAAAACTCCTAGCTGAACATACCTCCCTGAAGAAGACCTGCAAAGTCGGGTCGAAACGTTGGCTTTTAATAAAATAGTTTTGCCGCTATTTAGCCTATTTATGACCTCCACCCCGGACCATCCCTTCCTTTAACGATTATTTATTGATAGCTATCACATATAAATTTCTGTGTTTATTCACCTATTGTAATCTTTTTTTTTTTTTTTTGCAGAATACCGGGAGCTACGGGGTGCCCTCGAGCGGCTGGAGTCTGCCCTGCGGCGGTCGGGACTGGAAGGATTGGAGACCGACCTGGACCGAGTGGCAGCCCTCTTCGCCTCGGACCCCTTCCGGAAGGCTCTCCAGACCCACAACAAGCTGAGGGAGACTTCTCCAGGAAGGCCCGTTACCGCGTCGTCGCTGGCCATCGCCAGGGAGGTCAGTATCTCTCTTCCTGAAAACAGTTACATTAATGGTTAATTTTCCTGCCGTGATGGTCGTGCGAGTTGAGGCTTGCCCGCTTTAACCTTCTCCAGACTATCTGCACGGGTTCATATCCGGCCTGGGCGGGTTAAAATTTATTTCGCGGAATGAAATTCTACCTTCCATTCTGGTTTGAGTAGGTATAGTTGTAGCTCTTGAAGGGTGTCTTTCCTCCTCCGCTTGAGTGTCAGAATTAGCGAGGTAGGAGGTAAACAAAAAATAAAATCTGTATGACTACGTTTCTTTTCCTTATAAATAAATGCACCAATAATACAAATGCTTGAAAGGAGTTGTAGTATTGTTGTCAACTTCAAAATATTTTCTAATTTAAGATAGCACGGTCTATCATCCTATGATGACCCGAGAACGTGGTTACTTTCGGAGTGTACGGACCATTAACTGTTCTAGTTGGCTTTTTGAACCGTTTTAAGTCGTTTCCCCTCTGTTTAGAAATACTAAAGAATTTGGCTAACTTGTGCTGTCGTGGGTCCGAGTGTTAAATATAGTTTATCGACATTGTCAATGATAAGGAGTAAAAAATATGTAATTATGAGATTTCTAATAAAGCGTGATACATTTGGTGTTTTAAGAAGTTCTTTGTCATTCATAGCAATAATAAATAAATACTAATAAATTTAATGATAACCAAATATTAGTACAGAGGATATTTCGCCTCCACATTGTGGTATTGCTCTCCAGCTTCCATTTCTAGGACAGTGACACGTTTTCTTATGGTAAGCTTTCTATAGCGGACACCCCCTTATTGTCATTTTCTAATGAGTATTTCTTTACAGTCTAAGGTAGAATATTTTATTCATATGAGACCACCTTTAGACAAGTTTTCTTCTTAGAAATTCATTTTCTACCAATATTATCTGGAATGAGAATAAAATCTACGGAACTGTTATGAAAATTAAATAATTATCGAAAAAGCTTTCTCCCACCTACACTTAGCGCTGCTGATCACAGGAAAGCAGGAAGAAAGTAAAATGTAAACATTTCTCATGCGCATACGCATTTACGCACATGCCTCTCAATCCTCCGGCGAGTAACGATATGTCCCCACGTATAACGATATCCCATTTCTTACTATGTGGTATATCACATTAAAAAAAAAGCCATATTTTATTTATGAAATAATATTTGCTGAATTTGGTATGCAAATTAATTAAGACATCCACACTCTTCGGCGAATTAATTGATGAATTAATTTATAGTATGCTTATTTAAAAGATGATGAAATCGCACAAAAAACACATCAAAATTGAGCTAGTATTCAGAGATGAACTTTTTGAATTTTCGATGTCCCAGTATATTCTTCTTATTTTACAACTAGAAAGATTTACATTTACGGAAGCAGTCGAGATTTTTATTTAATGATCAATTTGATTTTCTATATTTTTTAAAGGAACTATGGAAAAAAAAACAATATCTTGAGACAATTTTGTTTTTTCAAGTTTTCTTAGAAGTTATAAGGAAATAGTGTTAGACACCACACATGTTTGGTGTATAATTATTTGAAAATAATAAACCAGTGTATATTAAGTTCTAGTCGAGTAGTCCAAAATCGGTCTTGATCTTACACTTTGCAAGACCAAGAATGGTAAAAAAATAAATAGATTTTATCAATAAAAACTAAGCCATAATAGTTGCTAATACTTGACAGTTTTAGTTACCATATGTAAAGAATTGGTATTACCAATAAATTTTTTAGCATTTAACAACTCATACATTTTTCATTCGAGCTTAGTTTAGTTTCTCCCACTAGCGGATCCAGAATTTAATTTTGGGGTGGCTTCAACCCGAAACCTTTTTTTTTCATAAAAAGTGCATTAGAGATAATTACTTTGAAAAAACAGAAAGAAACTAACTACTTATATGAAATGGTGTTTAAGTTATTCCTTAAGTACTTTTAAATGTAATTACACGAACAATAATACTTTAAGAGGTATTTTAAAAATTTTTTTCCCATAAAACATGGTTATATTTTTCCATTTTGTGGGGGGGGGGGGACTTCAGACCGAAAGTCCTCCCCCCCCCGTCGGTCCGCCCGTGGTTTCTCCTATTTCAAAAATTGCAGTAATATATCTATAGTAATAAGCTAATAGATAACTGCGAGACTCTTGCGCTACACCAAGACTCGTCTTTTGGGCAACGCTGATTTCCAGCGTTTTTAAATTTAATTATATTTTTTTTTAGGAGTTTGTCGGGGTAGTGCGGTCAAATAAATACTAATTATTTTTAAAAACAGAAAACATTTTTAATTGTTACTCCGACGTTTCGACCCACCTTGCAGGTCTTCATCAGGTATACAAAATATAAAAGTTACAAGGTGAAAATAAAATAAATGAATTGTAAGTAGGTATTAACAGATAGAAACAGTTGTTTGATAAAGAAATAATAAAATGACATCAGAGATATAGTGGGTGACAGTGTAGTTAAAATATCAAGTATTATATCTATGGAAGCTAAAAAGTGCTAACAATTAACAAGTAACAATTCAAAATACTATTTTTTAAAAATGTAGTATTTATTTGACCGCACTCCCCGACCAACTCCTTCTCATACTATATCACGGTCAACCATCTCTACATCATTATATATTTTTTTATTTAATCTGATTTAATCAATTTTATAAAATCATGAGAGTAGCAATTATGCGTCGGTTGTACTTTTTTTTATGCGTTTTATATTTATTTTTCTTTAAAAAAAAAATTCAGGTATCATATATAGCCAGTTCTTTAATTGCATTATTTGCTCTTAAGGCGTCGTTTATTGCTCAATGCTAAGCCAGAAACCTGGCTGTTCCTTCCACAAAACTTCCAAGCTCTTGGCTCTTCAAGTTTAAAAGAAAGAAAATATCGTGATTGGCAACGACTGAGACGGTCACAGCTGAGGTGATACCGAGATAAGAACATTGTACGCTAGAAGCATTGCCAAGTAGCGGCTTTTTGAGTCACGTCCCTACCTTCCTTCCCTGGGCCGGATGTGCTGGTCAATTGTCCCCTCCAGGTTGGTCCCGACTTGTCTTCAATGGATCCTATTTTCGGGTGGAACTATGCATTATACATTATTGCGATTTAATCATTGTTTTATAACAAGTGTTATATTTTAGGTACAAGAACTGCTGAGGAGCGGTAGCAGCCCAGAAGCGGCAGAACTGAGCGAGCTGCTGACGAGGTACGAGCTCGAAGGGCTGCTCACAGCGCACGACAGGGCTGCCACCACACTGGGGATGGCACCCGACCCCCAACAGCCCGCCGACCTACCGGAGGAATCCAACATCAAGATCATCAAGATTGAGAAGACCAACGAACCACTGGTGAGTAGTGATGGACTCTCAATCTCAATCTCAGGTTATCAGATGTTGTAGATATGAAAACTATCTACAACTCGAAGCTATAGAAATAATTTCAATGTATAATATACTTTCTCTTTTATTTCCGCATCTATGCTTTCAAAGCCGGTAGGTAGCGTAAAAGCAGCTGGCCCGCTGACGTTCGTGTTTAACTATAGCGCTAAAGGCCGAGCCTGAGAAGGGCCCCTAATCGCAAGCGAAGGTTTGAATGTGAATTACGAATATGTGTGTTATTCTAAGTAAAATGAACTTTATCTGCTATTCCAGAACCGCTGCTTTCAAAAAGAGCGACTGGTTTAAAGAATATTAGGCCAATAACGTAAGGATCGAAACGGGAAAAATGTGAGAAAGGTTTTTATTTTTTTAAGTTATATATATATATATATATATATATATATATATATATATATATATATATATATATATATATATATATATATATTGTATAATTAAAATTGCTAACGCAGACCAACAAAGGTAAAGTTTTTACAGGCAAAAAAGCCAGATTTTGTCGATATTTTTCGCCTATAACTTCTTAACGGTGCATCGAAACGAAAAACGTACGCTTTAAGGAATTAAATAACATCAAATTGCGCGTGAACGTAATCATTTGGTTGAGTGGCATGGTATAAAATCATGGTACCTTTTTCGTTTCGATGTACCGTTTAGGAATTATAGGTGAAAAAAAAAACAAAAAAAAATATACAAAAAATCTTTTGCTTTTTGGCTGAGACGTTTTTTCTTGGTTGCTCAGGTTAGCAATCTTGTTTTTTACGTGTTTGAACTCTTACACAAGTTAAAAAAATAAAAGCTTTCCCACACTTTTAACAATACGTTTCCAGTTTTGATCCTAATTATTTTAGACCTAATTTTCTTTTAATCGGCCGCCATATTCGAAATCAGCGTCTATGGGATGTTAGACAAGGTTTATTTTACTAAAAATAACATACATTTTCGTAATTTACTTTCAAGTCTTGATAGTTTCATCCAGTATATCTTTCATCCTGGTCATTTTCTATTGTCTGAAATGTCCGTTTCATTTATCAATAAGTCAAGTAATCCTGTAATTAAACCGGAGATGTTTTGTTGTACTGTTTTTGTGAATACTTTATTATTTATTACGATTTAATCATATCTGTTATCTGTCATAAATAATTATCTTCATAAGGCCCTTCGTGTTGTAGCAAGGGTGTACATGTAATTTTGTTGCTGGCAACCTTAACTTTCCGTTATCTTATACAACTTAGTTAATAATTAGTCAGCAAGAAGTTGGATACGCCGCGATGAACTTGGAAACAATTTGCGACTCTGGGTCAGCGCGATAGCAGCCCACATACGACCAGAGATAATGATATCACAGCTTACATTTATTTCCCCACATTTGGTAGAAATTGTTTATTAATCTTTGCTATTATTGTATCATTATAAAATTGTATTCAATTAGCGTCTAATCTGAAACACTAATCTGAAAGTCCAAAACATACAGAAATAACCTCGCGAGTTATTAACACTAGATTTAATATTGAAAGAGTTTATTTTCGAACTTGGAAACCTGATTAACTGAAACAAAAATAACAACTTAAAATTAAAATTGCTTGAAGTTTTCTTAATGAATTTCGTTCGTAGCCGATTACAACTTATCATTTGCAACAATAGCGGATCCAGGATTTAATTTTGGGGGCTTCAGCCCGAAAGCTTTTTTTTTTCATAAAAATGTCGATAATTACTTTGGAAAAAAAGAAAGAAACTAACTATCTATATGAAATGGTGTTTAAGTGATTCCTTAAGTCCTTTTAAATGTAATTACACGAACAATTATACTTTAACAGATAATTTTTTAATATATTTTTCCATAAAACATCGTTATATTTTACCATTTTGGGGAGGGGCTTCAGCCTGAAAGTCCCCCCCTCCGTAGATCCGCCCATGTTTAGCAACTGATTAATGAGTTGATTTGACACCATTTATGAAATGCTTTTCCAAAATTTATTTTTGCTTATTTTTATTTCATGAATGTAATAATATTGATGCATTTACATTTAACCTTTATGCAATCATAAGATTAGTATATGCTATGAGATAATGATATTTAATCAATAACTTCATCTCATAGTATATCTTTCTTTCATCCTGTTCATTTTCTATGGTCTGAAACGTCGTTTAATTTATCAATAAGTTAAATTATCCTGTTAATAACCAGAGATATTTGTTGTACTGTTATTTATATTCTGACTTTAATTTATCAACAATAGAATTATTTTTTTCATTTTTGTTATAAACTACTGGAACATACCAAAATACAGATACTGCTGACATGCCTTACTGAAATGAGCTGTTTTTATTATTATGGTTTGTTTGTTAATAACAGTAATTACTGGAATTATAATTGTTTTGGGTTAGAGATGATATATTTATGGTTTTTTTTTGACATGTGGTTACATTTAGTAGCTGAAATACATGAGAATTTGATAAAAGAAAGAGAATATATTGTAATCGTTTAAGTACTTTTCCTAGATCACTCATAGAACCAAGTATGGATGAATGAAAAAAATAAATAATTTTCTACTTTGGTGGTTTCAGCCAGTGAAATCTTCTCGTGCTGGATTCTGTTAGTGATTTGAAATAACTAAAACTCTTTTGACTATTATTCGGAAAGAGTGATAAATAGAAGAAGGAGTGGAAAAATTGAGCTGGTCATCTCTCCCTCTATTGATTAAGTTATTTAATATAACATCCCTAACAAAGATGTATCTGATGTGTTTGATAGTTAAATTATCTGGATTATATGGGGTATGAAATGTCATATTTCATTTTATATTTCTGCTAATACAGTTAAATTTAGCTTTGAATATACTTAGCATTAGCAGTAAATTGATGTAGTGTTATTAGTAACGAAAAATCAAGATATTTTAATTAAAAAATTTATTGATATTCTATTGTGTTTTTTCAGGGAGCAACTGTTCGAAATGAAGGTGATTCTGTCATCATTGGACGAGTGGTTCGTGGAGGTGCTGCAGACAAATCAGGACTGCTCCACGAAGGGGATGAGGTGCTAGAGGTAAATGGTGTTGAGATGAGGGGAAAGTCGGTGAACGAGGTGTGCGACCTTCTCTCAGCGATGACAGGGACGCTCACATTCCTCATAGTTCCTTCGCTAGACCAAACTGCCCACCTTCAACATCATAAGGACACTCTTGTTAGTAATCTCTCATTTACTTAACAATCAATGGTTAAGTTAATTAGTAGAATTTAGTTTTAGTTTATGTATATAAAAAATAACTTTAAATATTCAGTGGATTGAATTTGTGCATAGCTATATTTTAGGAATATATAAATTTATTATTTTGAGGAACACTTAAAAAAAAACCTTTTTACTTCACAAAACTTTTGCACTTTCTCATTTTTACTTCTAACAACGTGTCGTGCTGCTTTGCCCATTTTCAAGTCTTAGAATCATATCTATAACATTGTTAATGTATATAAAAAATTATCAGCACACAATAAAATAAATTATTAAACAATTACTATTAGTGAATAAAAACTTATACTTAACACAATTATGCAATCCTAAAGTTTTTTGTAACTTTATTTAACTTGTATCATATTCCAAGATTCAAAGAAAAAGGGAAGAACTGGCCAATGCACATTATATATTTTATTTTAAAAAACTTATTTTGTACTATTTTACTAATTATCTCAGGATCATCTAATTTAAAATTCCATCAAATGCAAACATTATTGTCTTATTAATATTTGGTTTCATTAAAAAAACAGTTCCTGTGTTAACTTATTTTAACAATCCAATGTCGACTATGAGCTCACATGTCATTATTATGCTTATAGAGATTTATGTAATACTGTATTATTTAAAATAGTTTTCAGTTTTCATAATAATAATAATTTAACTAAAAAAAATTATTAATTATTTTTTATTTAAAAATCTAATTTATTTATTATATCAACATAATAACAGTTTTGAAATTTGCTAAATTTTTAAGATTTTCTATCAATGAGAAAGAAGGTTTAATTTACTTGTTTCATTGATCCTTTGACAAAAAAATTAAGACTATGAATCTCCTTCTAATAATAGAATTATTAAATAATTTAAATGTAAGTACCATGGGTCATCTTATTAGAGAATACATAATTGGCTTCTATTGGCTGCAGTGCTGCCTACAGGCATGCTAGATAATGATGTGTGATTAGCTCTAGAGTTTATAATTTTTATTTTTGTTGAATGAAATACTTGTTTTATTCATTGAGTGTTATTATTTCAGATGCATATGATAGCAAATTTCGATTATGATCCAGAAGACGATCTGTATATACCATGTCGAGAACTTGGAATTTCATTCCAGAAAGGTGATATTCTTCATGTGATATGTCAAGAAGATCCGAATTGGTGGCAAGCCTATCGAGAAGGGGAAGAGGACCAAACATTAGCAGGACTAATTCCATCAAAATCATTCCAACACCAGTAAGTCAATCTATTTTTATAATGCATATGACAGATTTTTATCCAGAGTAAGGGGCGGGGTGGCCGAATAGGCTAAAGCGTGTGTAACAGCACCCCTAGTTGCCTGGCAACCGGATAACAGAGATTTGAGATGATATAAAAAGTACGAGTGTTCATATATTATAATCAAGGGCATGATTATGAGGATGAGATCTAGGTGCTAGACCAAAGCTAGACAAATTTAATTTTTAAAAATGTCCTGTTTTTCTCAAACTCTAGTAATAACTATTTTCTTAGTAAATTTTCATTCATGCAATATTCTTTCTAACTTCTTCAGAAACTTCCCAAATTGCTCTCATCTTTGCTTTTCTCTCCAACAAAACAAAGTTGCCACTATCCAGTGCAGTACTGTATTTCTGAGCATATTAATTTCCTCTTTTTTCATTACTTTTTAAGTGATTATGTATTTAAGTAAATGTTTAATTTATTCAGTAGTTTACATTCTTTTAGAAACAGTAAAATTCCTAAAATCTAACCCACCATCGAAGATGTGACGTTAAAGCATACAGAAAGATATACCATTACAAATATATCTTAACTTATAAATAACAATCAATGAACTAAATTATAGAATAGAAATAAATTAAACACGTTTGCTATTTTTAAAAAGATATATTAAACTTTAAAAAACCTGTACCACTAAAACCCATGAAGGGTCTTGGGTTCAGTACTATATTTAGAGAAAGCACTGTTTCTTGATCTATGGTTGTGCAAGGAGGTGATTTGACCGAGATCACGCTCATTCGCCAGGTTATATTAAATAACTACAGAAAATTTATGGTAGAAAAGTAACATATATTTAGGTTACAACTAAAATTACTATAAAATCATTATTGATCTTAAAAATAGTTGGTCATTTTCTTTTGTCTTTTTTGGTCACAAGCTTTCAGCATGGCAATATTCCAAAACTTGTGAAATAGCAGTATCTACATCAGATAACATTCTTCTTATTTTTGATATATAACACAAGGTGTTAGCACATGTTTAAATTTCGTTAATATTTATTAATTCATAATTTTCTTAGGAATCCTTTTTCTCTTACTCATTCCCTCACTTCATGTTGAAAATTAATTTCAAGATTTTGAACCTATAAATGTAATTAACTTATGTTATTATATACATAAGTTAATTATCTTATTTAGAAACTAATCTGACTCTCTCTCAAATTGTGTTCCATCTCATCAAATATGGTGTATATATTATTCAATCATTCCTCGCAATATTATACATTATATAATCCCTTTTTACTTTTCTATCATTATTTTTCTCTGAAACATTTATGCTATGAGTAATAAAAGCTCACCTCTTTGTATGGGTTCTACAGTCTACATTATTGATGGTTAATTGAAGTTTTCCATTGTATCCTTGTTTTTGTGAATGATGAACATGAATGAATGAAAAACAACAATTATTAACAGTGTGAATAATATTTACAGACGTGAAGCAATGAAACAATCAATCACTGGAGATAAGCTCAGCAGAGAGAAATCGAAAAAAGCTGGAACGTTTCTGTGTGCTAAGAAAAATACCAAAAAGAAAAAGAAGAAGTCTTACGGTGACAGCGGGTACCCCATATACGCAGCTCATACAGATGGTATGTTTGTGTTATCTAATAGTAAATTTGTTCTTATTTTGTGATAATAATGTCAATATTTATCTATTGTAATTATCAAGTTTAATGATTTATTTTCATATATTACTTTCACTTACCTATATACATAATATAAAGTAGGGGTAAGTAATATGATCGTGAAAAAGTTTGAATCACAGTTTTCAACGGAAATACGTTTTGAGGTTCCCTGAGTCCATATAACAAAGTCCCACAAAATTGTTTGTGTGTATGTGAACAGTCTAGCTCAAAAACGAAAAGTCGTAAGAAACTGATATTACGTATTTAAGATAGTTATATGCCTTAGATGTGACAGCAACGTTTTCCTTGAAATCGGCTAACCGGAAATGCCGGAGCTGCTTAAATCTTCATTCCAAGCTTGAAATATTTTCATTATAATTCTACATTCCCTTAGCAATTTGAGCTCCAAATATATAATTTGAAGTGTAAACAAAATAAATTTTTTGTATATAGTAAAACACTAATCAGACAATAATATATAATCAAATCAAACAAAGATAAGCTCGTCTTATATTGTTCTAAATTCATATATATAAAGATTATTATATAATAAGCTTCAACATTACATTTTCAGAAAATTCATTTGTAAATTTTTAATGAAAAAAAAACTAAGGTGTGTGCTTAAGACCACCCAATAGAAGTGAAAATATCAATAAGGCAAAATTAATAATATGAAAATAAAACTACAAATAATAGCTTATTATAAATGGAATGAAATACTGAAGATTTTCCTCCCTTACAGTATGCAGGTCTGATTTTTAGTTTCTGAAATATTTTAATCTATTTGCAAAAACACTTCAATTAGTTGACTCCAACTGACTTTAATTAAGCGTTACATATCGGAGATCCGATGGCTCAATCTAATTCACTCTCTACAAAAAAAGTGCAAAACGAGCCTAAAGAAGTTTTCACTTAAAAAAAAAATCTGGGTGATGTTTTCCTTAATACAATTTTTATTATAAATGAATAAAATTGCAGTTAAAACATTATTTTATTTATACCTCTGGTAAAGGTTCTTTAATTTTTATAAGGAGAATACTTTTTAAAAATTTCGATATATTGAATATTATATTTTCTACTGTCTAAATTATTTTTTTTTATTTGTTCAGATTTTGATGGTGATGAAATTTTAACATATGAAGAGGTTGCTTTATACTACCCCCGAGCCAATCACAAAAGGCCTATAGTACTAATCGGCCCACCAAATATTGGTAGGCATGAGTTAAGGCAGAGGCTCATGGAAGATTCAGATAGGTTTGCAGCTGCTATACCTCGTAAGTATAACTGATGTAGTTTCATAACTTTATTTCTATTTATAAGAATCAAATTGGAGAAAAGTATGTGCAAAGTTTTATGACAATAAAATTTTTCAAAATATAATATTATTATTAAAATTATATTATAATGCTTGGGCAATTTCCTAAACTCAGTGCTGAATGGCATTGGATCTATCTATAAACTGGCTGAAATAATGCTGACGGCTGAGTTTTGGAACTTGCTCCTCCTTTATGGCTCTTCTAATGATAATGATGGAAATGTAAATTGTAATTATTCACCGAACTAATCCCAATCAACTAAATTCTAAAACTGCTGTCTGGTTTCCTACCTATTTCATTAAAGAATTATGATTTAACAAGAAAATATTAGATTAATTAATATTATATTTGTAATAATTAAAATTATTTATTTTATTTTCAACAGACACTAGTCGAGCAAGGAAAGACGGAGAGGTTGATGGTCAAGATTACCATTTCATAACAAGAGCTCAGTTTGAGGCAGACATCTTGGCGAGAAAATTTGTCGAGCATGGTGAATACGAGAGAGCCTATTATGGTACATCCTTGGAGGCGATTCGGTCTGTTGTTAATGCTGGACGGATTTGTGTCTTAAACCTTCATCCCCAATCGTTAAGGATCCTGAGAAATTCAGATCTTAAGCCTTATGTTGTTTTTGTTGCGCCTCCTTCTTTAGAGAAACTGAGGCAGAAGAAGATACGCAGTGGTGAAACATATAAGGTTAATACATTTTTTTTTTTTTAATATGTTATTTATTACATATAATTTCAAGGGAGGGGAGCTCTTACACCCTTGTTGAAGTAAGCAAAACTAAAAAAGTGACAGATTTAAGTACGGCTTCTCTTTAAAATTGGAAGGTAGTTCTGGATGAAACAGAATGTTTTTTTCTGACTTTGTGGCAGAAAGATTTTTATTAGACTCAATTAATATCCAAATACATTGTGGACATTTATATATATTTTTTTTTTAACAGGAAGAAGAACTGAAAGAAATAATTGAAAAGGCCAGGGAAATGGAGGATAAATATGGTCATTATTTTGATATGATCATTAACAACAATGATACAGAACGGGCGTACCATCAGCTGTTGAACGAGATCAACTTATTGGAGCGAGAGCCTCAGTGGGTCCCTGCAGCATGGATAAAGTCCACATGAGAAATAATGGTAAGTTCCATAAATCTAATTGTATTTCTTTAAATTTTTAAAATAATATGTTAACTAAGAATCTTATCTGTTCTGCCCCATAAATTTTAATTTCAAGCCCCACAACTATAGATTTCTGTTTAAGGCATAGTGGTTAAATTTATGTAAAATTATCATTTCAAACATATGAAAATCACTAAATTAGGAATTTAGTCTTGTGCCACCTTTTCACTTGACCTGATGAAGGCATGAACTTTGGGTCAAATAATATAATTATAATTATTTATTTATTTTTTTTTTATTTTTTTTTTATTTTATTTTTTTGACTGATCACCCCAACCATTCTTCTCTTGAACTATTCACTACAGTCAACCATCAATCCACAATTAGGAATTTTTTAATTTATCTAGTTTATGGACCCCATTTTTTCATTTGAACAAACATATTTTCTTCCAAATGCCCAACTGTAGGCATTTTACGTTGTTATTTCTATAACTTTTAAGGTTAACACTAATATAAAGAGCTGTGACCATTTAGAGTTATTTGAATGAATGTGAAAAGTTTGGAAAAGTAAAGTTCAAAATTGTTTTGCAGTTCCTGACTAATGACTGTACAGATCACGGTGTATGGAGTATTCCTTTAATAAAATTCATATGCTTCTTCTGGATCTGATTGGGATATTTATTTTTTAATTTTAATAAAAATGGAAAACACTTAATAATCTTTTCATTGATATTCAATTAAACACTCTTTTTCAATATACTGGTTTTTGTAGGAGAGTGATGTACTTACTTTTTTATATGTTAACAAAAAACTAATTTCTAGATTTTATAGATGTTTTTGTAAGGTATACTTTTAGAATTATTTGACTTTTACATGCATTATGTCACTTGGTTTGTAAATTCATTTTATTTTGCATTCGCAGATAATCGGTGGAGAAGACCGCGAGTGAAGCTAGTAGTACGCCAGTGTATATATCTATCTACTACAATAAAATGGTGCTACATGTCTGCCATGAATGGATGCACAAGGATAGAACAATCATCTGTGAATAATAATGTTTACTACTGTCTATACATATAAATACATACATATGCATTATATATATATACATATATAAATATAAATATAAGTAATATATATATGGAATGCGATTACCCAAGTTGGGTTGATTAGTCATATTTTCAATGAGCCTTTTAGTGCCAATCTCTTTTATGTTAAGTTTTTGTAAAACTTCAAAAGAGAAACTGTATCTTATGTCAGTATTATACTTGATACATGTAAACTTTATTGGATTGTGTTTAGGGAATATGTTATTCTTTATTGTTTATATCATAAATGGTTATATATGTAATTAGATGCATGTTATTTTATGTAATATTGTAAATGACGTATTGGATTAATTGTTTTCTGCTTAGGAGGATTCAGTTTGTCAAATGCATCTGTTTATAATTACTTTTAAAATTTATGTACTGATTTTTACCTTGAACTTTATTGTGTACAGTCATTTTATGTATGTATCTATGTATATTTTTTTTATTTTTACGCATGTATCACGTATAAATTGTAAAATTTACCAACAATATTATATTAAAAGAGTTAATTATATATAGGAAAGAGTATAAGAAAATAAAAAATAATAAGTGGAATAGATTGTATCTATTGTCTAGGCCAAAATTAAAGAGTACTTTTTTAAGTCACTTTGAGTGTGTTTAATAATTCTTATAATTTACCTTATAGTGAATGATATTTGAAGATCTAAAAGCTATTTTTTTGTTAATTAAGATGAACTTATTCATTTAAAAACCAACATTGCTTAAAATCTTCTGCAAGATTGAAGATGTGGTGTTATAAAAGAGAAAAAATGGTTCAAAAAAGTAATTCTGTGCTTTTATTATTTATGGTCATGATTAGTTTTAAGTGTTGGTTTCGAAATTGATATGTTTGTGTGTAAATACATATATCAATATCACATATATCTTTAAATTGGCTGAAATATTTTAAAATATTTGATGTATTTTATGATTTTAAAAATATTTATTCTGAAAAAAGCCTGGTGTCTATTTGGAAATGTGATTTTTTGTTTTTATAAAGTATTAAATTCAAAAGTGATTTAAAAAATAACTCTTTGATTGATATTTTATAGTAATAAAATATTAATGACTTAATACTGATTTTACAGTATGCATAATAATTATATAAATAAAATAATATAATAGATCGATATATTTTTGTTTAGTGAGAAAGAATAAAAAAAAAAGTGTGCAATTTTATTATTGTATATTTCATATAGGTTTATTATTAATTAGGTCTTGAGAAGTGTGATCTTTTGGAATCAATTATACAAAAACCGAAAAGAAAAAAAAAAATGAAAACAAAATTCTTTTCTCAACACCCCTTGCTACGCCTTAGGGGTATAAAAGTAATATGTATATATCTGTGGTGTGAAAGATTCTTGCCTCGATAACTTAATAATTAGGGACATAGGGGAGGCAATAAGTTGGCTATCCGTTGGGCACTCACCATATTAACGGTGCTCCCAAAACTTTCTTTTCCAATAATTTCTGTAGAATTTTTTCAAATTCAACTCTTATACAAATTAAAAAAAAAAAAATCTCTAGCTTTCTTTGAAACCTCTTAAAACAGTTCTCAAACCTACTTACATTGTGCCAAAATAAAATAAATATTTAAAAAAAGAAAAAAAAAAAGAGGAGTGTAAACGTTTATGAATTTTATATTAATAAATTTAAAACAATTTTTAAAAGTTTTATCAGATTATATTTTAAAATGTTTTGTTTGTTGAAGAGCTGATATTCGAAGTGTTTTGTAAATAAATATTATTATAATTATCATCCATCCTTCTTTGTTTTTATTTTTAAATAATAATTATTAATTAATTATTTATATATACAAAAATATATCTTTTATTAGTGTTTATTATGTGTACAGTGATTTCTGATAGGTATTAAGAAAATGTATAATATGGCCTCATTTATATTTTAATAGAATAATAGTGGAATGGAGTTTTATTTCATCGTCGATTTACATTTTACATGCCATTTATCACGTTTTTTGAGATTTTTCAAGTGATACGCGCTTCCATTTCAAGAAAGCTCTACCAGGCTGTTTCGAACTTTACATTAATAGATTAGACTGCTCAATAGACCCAGGCAATCCTCGTTTGCTATTGACCTTCCTCAACCGATAATATTTCTACAATTATTCTATTGTCTTCGAAATAATCCATAATAAGATAATAAAAGGGTTTTGTAGACAAGAAATATTGTTTTTACACAAAATTGAATATAATGTATATTATCTTTGTTGTCATACTCTCTTAGTAAATGGAACTTACCTCAGTTTGTACTTTATTTCTTCATTCCCTTCAGCCTTTCTGTCAGTAACAAAAAAAAAATTAATAAACAGGAATGAATAGTGAGTTGTGCTATAAAATGTAGGTATTCATGATGACTCCTTTTTAAAAAGATATAATATATAATATATTATATCGTTTATATTATATATTATAAAGATATAATATATTATATCGTTTATATTATATATTATAAAGATATAATATATTATATCGTTTATATTATATATTATAAAGATATAATATATAATATAAACCATATCAGCCATCCAGAAGAATTTTCATCATTCGAAAGTTGATTTAGAATAGTAAAAATATCGTTGACTGTAGTTGTAATCAAGAAGACGTTTGTGAAGTTAGACAAGATATAAGGTTACTAGAAAGTAATTGAGAGGGTGGAATGTGTTGAAAAGCTTATAAAACTGTTTGTGGGAAATAATCTTTCTTGTATTTTCTCAAAACTCATGATTACAATGAATTATATATTCAAATAAATTATCATTGCAGTTAGGCAAAAAAAGTTAATTTATTGAAATGAAATGAAGGTAAATTATCCACAATTAAAGAAAATGAGAAAATAAACATGCTTTAAAAAATATATATATAAAGAAATAGTCAAAAATAGGTTACAATTCATTTTATTTTAAATCAAAACAGTTAAAAGCATCTTTTAACTTAATTTCAGTACTGGTAAATATTAATAGTTAACCATTTAGAATCCAATTATAATAAATAATTAAAAATTAAAATGATAATAACCCAATTATAAGAAATCAGCAAGTAAGGATTTATGGGACCAGTAGATATTCCTTTAATAGTGGTTCTTGGAATTGAAATGGAACAGCTAAGACATGTTCCAGTTCACATATGGCACCAGGTATAGTATTGTTTTTCTATTTATGTAAACTGACTTCCTTAACTACAACAAAAAATAATTAAAACTGACAAAATAATTAGGTTTGGTTGTAAGAGAAATATGCAAATTTTCATTATGATTTCTTCAATATTAATCAATTTATAAGAATCCAAATCTAACTAAATGTGTCTCAGAGAATATACATGCCATAGGTGGAGAATGTGCAGCCTATGAGAATTAGTAGTTTCTGTGATTTTTATTAAAGATAACTGGTGTAAATAAATATTTAATTATATAGATTGGGTCTGTGAAAATTAAAATTTATACATTCATATGCTTATTTAGTATCTAATTGAATTGTGTCCTCTAATCATTAAAAAATTCACTGCCCAGGCTCTGTACTGTAATATCAAAAAAAAAACAAAGAAGTTCCACATGATAAACTCTGGTAGATTATTTGAGACCAACAAACAGAATCAGGTCTTCAAGGTACAGCTGGAGAAAGAGGAAATTTATACGAAATGTATACCTTACTTGAAGGAAAAGTACAGAGATGAATTTGAGAGAATTCTCGGTTAATGGGCTATGGTTCAGAAGCAAGAGAAGCATCCCTTTCACTACAAGTAGTTTTTTGCAGAGGCTCGATGTTGGAAGGGAGCAGACGCAGACCATGGCAGAAACTATTATTTTAGACTGAAGGAATCCTCCATTACTACATAATTGATCTTGGCCTTGATTTGGTTCTGTGAGCCGTTCTTGGCATATTTTTTACGTATTCCAACCGTCCGACCTAACTCTCTTTTAATCTTTTTCGATATTATTAGTCGATTTATGAGTATACTTTATGGTTTAACATCTCAAGTGGTTGAGCAGCCGTCCGATATTATTATTGTAGTTCTCTCAACCAGCGGTGGGTTTCACGCTGAATGGTAAAATATAAATAGAAAAGTAATCTTTTTTTTTTTATGATCCTTATCTGTTTCTGTGAGTGGTCTTAGCTATACATTTTCACAACATGTTCTCTTTTTAAATTATAATGCAAATACAGCTAATCAACGCAAGACCATCCCTAAAAAAAATTCTCTGAAAGCATTATTGTTCCTGTAATAATCTTATCTTATTATATACATTATTTTCGGATCAGGTGTTTGAGGACCAATTAAACACCATTTCACGTAGTTCATTCTTTTACTTCCAGAGTACATACTTTCATAAAAAAAAATCCCCATTGGCTGCTGATGACAAGTCACTCATTTTAGTACAGGGTGAAAATAGTTCCATCAATTAAAATGTAGTCAATATAATCAAATTAAATTAAATTTTGATATTGATACTACAATGCAAAGATGATAAACAAGGTACAATTAAAAATAAATATTTAAAGGAGAGGTTAACCTTTCTCCACTGAATTCCATCAATGAAGGAATCCCACAATCCTATCATCTAGGGTAATTGAGTGGACATGATTTCAAGAAGTTTCAAATATAGCTAGACCATTAAATAGCTGGTTGCCATACCCTTGCTAACAGGGGTAGGAGATTCAGGGAGAAAATTTAGGTATATTTTAAAATACGAATTATTATTATATATTTACACACACACAAACCTGCTTGTGCACAAACCTTGAATGACATAGAAGGGTGCCTGGACCAGTAATAGGGCCCAGTAACATATTCAGGATATAATTTTGAGGGGACTTTTTTTTCCTTTTAAATAACAGTAATTACTCTGATATGTATATGTAGATGACAAAGATTGATATAGTTCTCATGAAACAAGGTTAGAAAATATCAACCCACTGAAAAACATCGACTTAAGTATAATGTGTACACAGAGACTAGATGCCAGATTTTGAGGAAAAGAATGAACTAGGAACAGTAAATGCTTTAGACTTTCTGTAGACTCTGGGTAATGACGCCATCCCCCTTAAAAAACTAATTTTATTTCTTGAGCTGTTTTATATTATGTAATATTGGAATTTTATTTCATTCAGCATTGCTTTAAAACAGTTACTTTATTGATAGGTTAAAATTAATTAATTTAATATGATTTGTATTTTTTTTTTTATTTTTAACAAGTGTTAGCCCCGGAACATTGGCCGGCGACCTGGGGTGATTGCTCCAGTTGCCCCACCCTAAGGCCGCCACTGACTAGGAAGGTCAATCCACAATATATGTAACAAGAGGCACTTCTGAGTTGGCATTAAAGGTGGAGAAATCTAAGGAAGGCAAAATTATGTTATCCTTATAATTTTGATTTAACTATTATATTTCATTTTCAAATAAAATAAATTGAAACTGTTTATTATAGAATAAATAATAAATAACTGATATACAACATACGTATTAATACAACAGGATGACAAAATTCAGAATAGAGGAAGGAGATGGTGTGGCAGTCATAAATAGACTAAAATAGTGGAAAAACTATTTTATTTCAAGCCAACCTTTCGACCTGACTTTGCGGGTCTTCTTCAAGGAGCTATGTTCAGCAAGGAGTTTCACTTAAAACCTGACTTTTTATTGAACTCCTTTGAAGAAACTCCTTTCTGAACATAGCTCCCTGAAGAAGACCTGCAAAATCAGGTTAAAATGTTGGCTTGAAATAAAATAGTTTTTCCATTATTTTAGTCTATTTATGACCGCCACCCGGACCAACTCCTTCCTCTAAAATACACGACGGACAACTGTTAAGTATTTAGAATTCAGAATAGGTTTTACTTTTACGTAAATGTAAAAAACTTATAATGAAATTTTTGAATTTGAAGCAAATCTTCCCAAATCAGTTTGGGATATTAATAAAAATTGGTTTAAAATGACTTTCTCTTCACAATAAAAACTATAAATGCTTCAAATAAAAGATATAATAGGATTGACAAAGTGTGTGGCAACATTGTCAATGTCAGCCTTCTGGAATGGTTTTAGCAACTTTTTATTTAAATTTCAGAATAGAATAGAAAATAATTTTATTCTGAGACGAAGTCCCTTCAGAATAACAAAAAAGTACAGAAATTAAAATTTTACATCTGGCCAGATAAAAACAAACATAAAAAGTAAAGATATAGATAAATCAGTAAAAAAACAAAAAATAAATAAATAAAAAAAATAAAAAATAATAAAAAAAAATTTTAGTGATTACATTATAGTTTGATTTTTTAATTTTAAATTACCGAGTGAATTCTAATTAGTGATAATAGCAAAGACATGAAGCAGTCTTGCAGATGTGTAATATATAAAATAAATTATTTGTCTTTAATTTTTAATATCATTGAAGCAAACATTTTTTTTTTTGTAATTTGAAGTTATAACCATGAAATCTGAACTTCAGGTTTAAAAGATACTATGTCACACAGGTGGATATACAGATGAGGAGGGAGAAGAGGTAGGAGGACTTTCGGGCTGAAGAAAAAATTATCTCTTAATCACATTTCATAGGACTTAAAGAATCACACAAACACCATTTCATATCAGTAGTTAGTTTCTTTCTTTTCCTTTCAAAGTAATAATCATTTTACAAATATATGTGTGTGTATATATATGAACTTTTCCGGCTAAAAACCTATCCTAAAATTAAACCCTGGATCTACTAGTGCTATGTCACATATAACTTAACTGGACGGTAGTTTTATTACCTCACCTGTTTATTAAATTTTTGTAATGTAATTTCATCAGTACATTACTCTTACTTTGTATTATCTTATCCCAAATAATTTTTTTTTTTTTTTTTTTTTAGAAGTGTGTATGGACATTGAGTTCAATAGCTATCACAAAGCTGCCATATGGCATAGTGTTTCAGGGAATTCAGGCCAATTCCAATTCAAACCGATGAAAAACACAATCCTAAGCCAACATAGTTAATTTTATAAAATATATTGTACAAGTAGATACAATCACAAATACAAAGGGTTCAAATCATTCCTGTCTCCTTGATATTACTTGGGGCTTTGTTATTTAAATAATTGGATTTTTTACAGACATTATGCTGAACTAAGGGCATATAAGGCAATAACACATAATTATATTTTTGCTGAGAAATTCAAATTGAGTTTGTTGAGACGGATCAAAGCTGCTAAAAATGAAACTCTTAGACTCTGCTACAGTATACTCCATAAAAATGGATTTTTAAAATATCTTACTACCTGTTGTCAGTCTCAGGCATTACATAAAGATTACTGAGTTTCTTTTTATAGATGCATGTTCTTTGTTCTAGACTTCTCACAGTTTTATATTAGCCTTACCAATGAGTCAGGTTTGAAAAGTAAAAATTTTTTTTTTTTATTTATTTATAGAGATATACAACTGTATACAAAAAATACATCTGGTAAATTCGCACATTGGTATAAAGACATGGAACACATGTTAGAAACTACCCATTGGAAGCACTCTAAATAATAGGTCTATATTAGAAATCACGTGGCCATACTCTTTTCAGACGCTCAGGAGGGTTATCAGGAATCGAATAGGAAGCAAGGTTAAGACAAGAGGTTTGGATGGTTATGAAGTTTTTATTATGGAAGGACAGATATCGGATTGGGCCAAATCTGATACATAAGGAACCAATAAGGTCATTATGGGATAATTTTTATTTGTAACAAAGGTAAGGAGCATTGAGGATTTTTACGAAGGATTAGTGGATCGGTAAAGGATTGTATCGAGAGAAATTTGAAGTTTGGTGAGCCCCATAGCTCAACTCCGTAAGTCCAAATAGGCCTTATTATAGTCCATTGTAAATCAGTCTTTTATAATTATTTGGAAGGTTGAGCGATTGTACTAGTAAGTGTTGAAGTAGTCTAAACGTCGAGCTGTTTCTTGTCGTCAAGTCTGTATGAGGATTTCCAAGTTAGACGTTTGTCCAGATGGGTAGTCCTAGGTAACGGATTTGTTCAACAGAATAAGTGAGGTGTGTTAAAGGATGGCTGAATGACAGGAAGTCATTGGTTTACGACGAAGGGTGAAGGTTAATTTTGATGGGATTTATTGGAATTTATTTTAATTCTCCAGTTCTGACAGCCATTCACAAGGTTGTGATAGTGGTGGATTGAAGGGTTTGGAGCAATAAGTGTCGTTATTAACTGATAGGATACAAGTGTCATCAGCCTAGGTGGTGATGACAGTATTATAGTAAAAGTTAACATCCAAAGTTTCCTTTTATAGAAAAAAAAAATTAATGGAGTTTGTTGTAAGTGGCAATCACAAACATTTCTGCAGATCCTGAGCTAAAATTTTGAATTTTGGTGAATTTTCAGCCATTTTACTTTTCTAGTAGCATTTGGTTTAGATTCATTAATATGTGCAATATGATTAGCCTTAACAGATGCTTCTTCTTGAGACTGATTTTTTTTTTTTATTTAGAATATAAAAAATTTCAAGTATTACAAATATTTATTTTAGTTGAATGTTAATTTGAAAATTTTATTTTAATCATTAACAATGATTGTAGTAATTTTTTAGTTCTTAACTTTAGATCTGCATATTTTTTTTTACAGAATAAACTTGAAGCTCAAATGGTGTTATAACACTCTCATATATGAAAGTATAAAACACTCCTTAAAGTTTGTCTATTCACCCTACATCTATACATCTGGAAAAGGCAAAAAGTTTATTGAAATTTGTAACAATTATAAGTAGTTTAAAAATGGACTTAAGCTCTATATCTCTTAGGTACAGAGATATAAACACATTATTTTTTTTGTAAGATATATGCAAGGTATAAATTTATATAAAATATTTGGGCTTATTAATTTATATCATTTTGTGTCTGTTGGTTCAAGAAAACTAAACACTTAGAAAAGGTTATTTATCTGGGGTGTATGTGTTGTTATGTATGGTATCAGTGAATGTATTTTGAAGTAAAAAATTAATCTTTTCAGAAGAGTAGTTACAAAATTACATTAACTTCGGTTATTATGATATTTTTTTTTTTTTGATTCCATACAGTATATTTCTGATTTAGTCATAAATAAGCAAAGTAGTCAACTTTTAACCACATATTTCTGTCATAGGTCGAGCCAACCACACCTCTATTATTGTTAGAAAATATTCAAAGTGGGGTAGGTGCCACACTAAACAAAGTAATGAACTAAATTTTAATTAATATTCAAAGGTTTCTTCCTGATTTTTTTGTTTTTTTTTTCTGTTGATGTTTAAAGATTATAGCTGGTCTCTTAAGTTCCTTACTTAGTCAAAAACAGTGATTCATTTAAAAGATAAGGGTTTGAAATAAAACAAACTGTTAAAAGTAAACTATATTAAAATAAAATAATTTATTGTTCTCTTATAAGATATTCATGCTTCTTCTACAATACATATTACATAATACACTTAACTTATCTTTTGTTTAAATTTAAAAGGCCTTAGCCATAGCTATTATGATTAATTTAAATGCACAGTTAGATTTTTATGGGAGAACAACCAGCAGTATGACACATAAGAGCTAAAATGAGAAATACAACATCCGTAAACTAATGCTTCTAAAATAAAAACTGAAATAGCACCTGATTAACAACTAATAAATGGAATGAACAAATGCATCCTTCTTATTTACAATTTCTTTTTTTTTTTCTTTTTTTTTATAGGAATAGAAAATAAGGAGATTTTATATTTTAATACATGTTATATGACAGTAAAACTATCAGAAGGGAAAATTATAAAATAATAAAAAACATTTTTTTTTTAAATAGCTACTTATTTATAAGTGAAGTGAGGTGTGGTGTATGCACTGGTAAAACAGTTTGATATGAAAGTTTACAAGAGGGTTATACCATAGTAATAAATTCAATTCTATCAAGAACCTATGTAACCCTAGTTTATCTATGTACACTAAGTGATAGTGGCATTTTCTAAATACTTTTAACTTTCCCTCTGACATGGTGTTACTCCCTGAAAAAAAAATACAAATTACATGTGCCTGGTGTTGCCGAAGTTGATTCCCGATTGGTTGGCTCCTTTGTTGCTGCCATACTGAAGGCTTATTACTCCTTGGCCTGCTCTCATCTGTTCCTCAGAAAAGTTTCGGACATTCTTATCGGCCTCCTTAGGCCCGATGGACGGCTGTCCGTATTGAGCTCCCTGAAAAGTTAAATAAATTATTTTTGTTTCTAAATTATCCTAGATGACTTGAAGATTATTATAAAATTAAATAAAGCATTGAAATATTTCGAAATTATTTGTAAAACATTTCATAATATAAGGTGCATGTACACCAGGAAGGATTCTTCCTATCTAATATTGAATCTTTTTCGCTAACACAATATTACTTCCTACTGAATTCCCAGTGGTTCAGCTCTAGAGTATGGTAATATTATCTAAAGGAAAATATTTAATGTGGAATAGTAATTACACTTCTTGAACGAAACTCTCCTAATATGTATATTTTAAGTTTTACTATAGAAAATTTTGAATGTATATCTTTGATTTTGAGAATTAAGAAGCCATTTTAGATTGACCTATGAATTCAATCAAGGCCAAAGAATTAGTCCTTAATTTATAGCTTGAATTTTTATCATTTAGCACTAAAATGATTAATATTTTTTACTTGAACATTTTATTAATTCAATAATAAATCCTATTAACAAGTAATTTTTTTAGTTTTTAATTAATACATTTGTTGTCCATTCAATCGTTCTTCAGTTCTAAAGGTATTCTTAAAGAAATAAAATTTGTGAGTCCTAGTTTTATGTTACTTCTTTCACAGATACATATACAAAGATAATATATGCAAAGAGGCAATTGGGCCAATAATAGTAGAAATCTATGAGTGACAATATTCTTGAGAAATAATGTCGGCAACTTGGGATATTTCAAAGTCTTATTAATGTTGAGTGGTAATTGTAAAATTGTCAGGATTCCAATGAAGGGTTTCTAAATTTATTCCATGAGACTGCCATGAAATAAAAATTCTCTACAGGCTAAATTCAAATCATGACCCGTTCTGATACCAGATTTTCTTTATATTGGATTTAACCTCAAATCATATCCAAAATGACCTCAACGTATATAATTTATCCTAAATCAAGTTGGTACATGAATTTTTTAACTTAATATTGCCGTAACTATACCTTAGTCAGTTTAGTTGTTGGTGTATTATTGTATTACTGTCCATAACATAGTTGGATTCTTTACCTACTTGAGATTAATATGACAAGGTTGATGATTTCTTTGAATAAGATTTTAATTGTTTGTTTTTATCTTGAAGTCATTCTCTATAATATCAAATGGTATACAATAATCTAAAATTAAAACAATTTTCCTTGTTCCAGGAATTCAATTTCTTTTACTATCATTTAATAAGCTATTTATTAACTTATAAGTATTTCATTCTAAATTTTCCATTACATGATCAAATATCATGTTTACAAAATAGTTATACGTCCTAAATTTTATTTTACTTCCTAGATTAGATTAAATTATATCAGAATTTCAAAAAGAACACTCAAAGCCATTAAATGACTTGATGACTTTCATAGTTTGAATGATTGTACTTCATTCAGTATTTGGCAAGTTGTATATATAAGTAACTTTGTTCATCTATATAATATTATGATCAATAAAGATAGCCTTAAAAAAAATCAACATGAATATGTAAATAAATTATACAAGATAAAGTTAAATATGATTATTCTACAATACCTTTCTTCCAAGGGATTGCAAACAAATAACAACAGAGTTGAGGTTTTGCTTTTCCCATAGATCAACAGTTTGGAATGTTTCCTGCGCGGGAACTCCCATCGATCTTGCATTTTCTAGAAAGTTGTTGATGTTTTCCATGCATTTGAATGCCATTTTGCTTTCATTGATTTTCTTAATTGATCCTGGCTTCATTGTGTTGACCAACCTATGAAAAAAATTGTAATTAGAGAAGTGTGTTTCATTTTAATAATTTTTGAATAACTTGAAATGGTTCAATAAATTTTTATTTTTATTTATATTTTATTAATTTTTTACATACTTTCTGATTCCTGTACCAAATTAAATTATTTATATTCCAGATGGAATGATACCTTATTAATAATTTATAATTTTTTAAACAATGAAACCATTCTTTGTTGTATATGATATGATTTTGTGAGGGTTTTAGATGGTTAAGGGATGCTGAAAACCGGGAGGTTGAAATAAAGAAAAATTGAAGCTGAGATTTGATTAATGACCAAGCTATTGTGTACAGGAACCTGGATGTAATCCTTTTCACTAGTATCCACAAGATAAGCTGCCACATATTTTCCAACAATATTTCATTCTACATTAGTTACAGAATGGCTTTAATGTTTTTTCTGCCCTTGTAAGATTTATTTGTTTCTAAAATATAGTGACATGGTGAAAGAACATCATATAATTCAATTTCAAGTTTCTTTCAAATAAAAATAACATATGAAAAACTATATTGAAGCAATAGTTCATAAGAAAAATGTTATTTGATAAAAATAAATAAATAAAATATATTCCCTTTTGGTATTGATCTTGTACTTGCATTCATGATCAATAACAAAAATATATTAAGAATGAAACTATGAAATAAATATTGTATATTAACTGTTCTTAGTATAAAAAGTTGGCATCTGTACACTGAATACCATCGTAATGAAGTATTTAATATACAATAATATTATCATATTATCGTGTTATAAGATACACTTATTCTAAAACCCCCTTACTACATTTCATTTCTGAAGTTTTGAATGAATCTTAAAGTTTGATGCATTCATTTTATGTTATTAGTTTCACTAAGCAAAAAAAATTGTGCACTGTATAAGTTTTATAAGCAGTGTTATGATTCTTAGAAAGCTTTGATTCTTAAAACTACTTACAATAAATAAATACACCACATCTCATCAAGATGAGCTCACAACTTTATGTCAGGAAAAAATAATAATGAAGTTTTGAAATTAGTGGTGTGATATCCAGGGGTGCCAATCTCCCTCAAGGAAGCATGGAAGATCTATAGGACCACTCAATCTCTTTCTATACAGAAATTTTATTGCTCTCCACTTGTCATAAACAGTGCAAGTAGGATTAGAAAAATTGTAAATCATATATAATTACACTTGCTGTGGTCTGTCCCATGTCTCTCCTTTAGTTCTCTGGCTTAAAACTTTTAACTCAAAAAATTCATTACCCCCTCAGAATGTGTCCCCTCAAAAATTCAAAATGACACCCCTAGCGATATCCAGTTTTAAAACCTTAAATTTGGCCAAACTTGTGGGACTCTTCTGACAGTGAAATACATTTTAACAGAATGTAGAGCTTACGAAACATTTAGACTCTTTTATCTTGACAAACGATCTATACTTCATTTTACAGGACAATAAGAATGAAATTGATAAACTATTTTCTTTTCTGAAACGTACTAAACTTGAAAATAAAATCTAATTCTCAGTGAAAATAAGGCAATAATGGCCCAAGTGGTTAAAGCCTTAAAATAAAAATAAAAAATGCAAACCTTAAATTGCTACAATTATGTTCCATCCCTGCATGCGTTTTGATGTAGAATTTACTATTTACACCAAAACTAATCTAATAATATAACGCATGTAAATAACTAAACCTACAACATTATAATTTAAATTGTATATATTTATTTTTATTTTCTGTAATATGCTTGCTTCTGCTTATTTAAACAGTTTAAATGCATCGATAAAATGTAAAAATTCCGGATCCGAACTCCGATAGAGCTTGAAATGTATTCTAGCTAAAACAATATTGCATAGAAATATCGTAGGTTCGTAAAAACTCCATTCGAAGTGCTCTTGGTTAGAAGATTCGTTCTACCTTCTCACGAGATAAGAAATACTTTGACCAGAATCCTACCGTTCCTTCAAGATAGCACAGGTAGAGAAAGGGTAGACAAAACAACAGGTGAGATGTTATTTTAAAACTGAAACATCGTCATGTTTTAGGAATGGGGTTTTATTGTTCACCAAAATTTAGTTTTCAAATGGTATGCTATTATTTTACAACGAATTATTCGTATTGTCATAAATGGCTACATGATACCTAGCGAACTTCTATTTCAAGGACCTTCCATTATTTTAGATATTCGGTAACAATAAATAAAGGAAGATTTCAGTTCCAGTCAGTACATCCTTCGAAGATTTAATAAATTCTTTCAATGGGATAGAGCTAAACATTCCAGTACAATTTAGGAAATAGTACGAATCATAGCATCTGCGAGATAAATAAGCCAAACAGTTGATCTGACTTCCAATGTCTATGGGTACAAAAGATACATTTATAATCCTAAAGCTGCTCAGAAGCGACTAGCTAAATTACAACAATAATTTTAGAGCATCTCCTTATCACGAATATTACTAATTTCTTGTTTTTCAGGTCACTCACTGACGGATCCACGTTAGGGGTCTTTTTTTTTCCATTTTTTCATTGGACCATATTTGTTTCCTTGAATTAGTTAAAATAAACAATAACAATCAAAATATGTACTCTTATTAAATTGTAAGGTATTTATTTCAGCTACTGATAGCAGATATCTTTCAAGAAAAAAATATCCCTAAAAGAATTATTGTTTCTGAAATTCCTATAAACACATCATCTTTACATTATTCTATATGATTTCTTTATTTTTCTTGTAGGGTAATCAAAGTTAAAAAAAATCATATCCTCCTCCCCAAAATTTAATGCTGGATCCGCTACTGGGATGCTTCATTCTCCAATTGCAAAATGTCGCAGAAATGACTTTAAGGTATTAAGTGTAAAAATATAAGTCAGATAATTATATTTTCAGGGAGATTATTCATCTTCTTTTCGTTCTACAACTGAAATAATTTCAGATAAACATTTGAAAACATCCGATCTGTATAATCCAATACCATATAAGGACGGTATTTCCTTCTTGCGGTCATAAATAGGTTAATGTTGCAACACAGTACCATGGGAAGCGTTGGCTCTTGAAGATGTTTTAATGCAACACGAAACCTGCTGACGCTGCACAGATGGAATGCCTAATGGATGATATCATGGCCACTCGAGAAGTCGATTCATTAACGGTATGCTTTCAGTTGAAGGGGGAAAAAAAAAATCTATTTCGTAAGATGAGCTACATCTCAAGGTAACTTGGCGAGATGACGTGGAGTTTCAAATCAGACTAAGATAGTTACTGTTTATGAGAGCTCCAGCTCAATCCCAATGCAATGATACTCCAATGAACACTCCAATAAGGCGGTTAACCCGAAAGAACACAGCCTGCGACCACAACTGCATGATTTCAGAAAGTATATTCGCTCTTCGGACTGTGGCGGCAACCTACAAGGCTGAGATAGGAATTGCTCTGTACAAGGTTCGCACATTAATTAGTTCCCCTAACCGCCATTAGAGGCCTCTATTGCGCCTTCCTCTCCATCGATAAGTGCGCACAGAAAACTTACAGTGTGGCTCTTGGTAGTAAAAAAAAAATATATATAATACTAAATATTTTTGGTGTTATATCAAGAAGTTTCGTTTGTGAAGACATCTTGAAGATGAGTCATTTTCATTAACCTTTGTCCGGTTTAAGTTTGGATTATAAATGCATGTTTCAAGATGAACAGATTGCTAAGAGCAACTGATTAAGTGAAAACAATCCAACATTTCTTTCAATTAGACAGAAAGAATCTTCAGCTTTATGGCTTTGTACTAAAAAAGTTTTATTGCTAACAAAGTTTTGTACTAAAAAAGTTGTATTGCTAACACAGTATGTTCTAAATTATTTAAAGCAAAGTAATAGTAATTCAGCGTAAACAATATTTTGAGAATCTCTCCTAATACATATTACATATATAGAAAAAGAGAGTCGCGAGAATAAAGTATAAAGTTATCAGTGAGTAAAGCATTTTAAAATCTTCTCCAGGGTCGAATGCAACACATATAAAAGTTTGTCTATGCGCTTATTTATGGCGACTTTATTTATAACAAATGATGGTTATGAGAAGCTATAATAACCTATTGGTTAACGCTTTTTCAGTCTTGACTGACGTTTTGGTAATAGCTTCGTTACTGAGGATTATAGAGTTTCTCAGTTAACAGTTTGTCTGACGCAAAAAATAATTATTCAAATCGGACTGAATCTAATTAATCAAAGTGAAGTCTAGAATTGAAGTGAACTGAAAGTCTCTTTTTTATAGTTTTCTCATTAGATAACAGCCATTAATATATATATATATATATATATATATATATATATATATATATATATATATATATATATTTTTTTTTTTTTTTTTTTTTTTTTTCTGACTAACGATTATATAAATAAATCGTGCATCATTTAAGGTTTAGTTTGAAGAATATTAAGTACATACCAAATAAATAAAGTTTTTTTAACGAATTTAAGAAACCCGATCTTGATGGATTGAATGCATTCAAAAAGACACTTGTGCCGTTCCTTTCTAGCCGATCTAGGACGTCTTATTGAACTTAATGGAATTCGTCTTGCCGTCTCCCATTTCTCTTCTTCTGTCCTCTTCTTTATCCTACTTTATCAAGATACTTCAAGGTTTATATTTTTTTCTGTTCCTCTGAGATCTACATCGCTTCGTTCCACATTCCTACAATTGTAGCGGTACCATTGTATGAGAGGAAAGGGGTGAAATTCTGTTTAAAATGTAAAATATCTATGAATAAAACGAATTCATATAATAGAAACAAATTTCGTCTGTTATATGAAAATATATTAAGTTTAAATCATTTTGACATAGTAACATACTAATGACATGTCATTATACAAAATTAAAGGTGAACTTTTATCATATCATCGTTTCGTAATACATTTATCAATAATATAGACTACAATAAAACTGAGCGGAAGAAGTAGATAAAAAATAAGAAATTATTCTTATTGTAACAATTATCATATAAAGGAGAGGAAAAGGTGAGCCAGATTCAATAAATATCTGATCAAGAATTAAAAGATTTTATAAAATATTCCATGCAGCATAGTTTTTCAATAGCCTATGCCGCGATAACCGCAAATAGTTCATGGTGGTAAAACTTTAAACTAATGTAAGTTCAGTTAGTTATTCCCAAATCACTTGGATATCAAAGTAAAGTAAAACTTGATTTCGAACATAATATTGGGCCAAATTTATAATATTAACAATTCATCCGACGCAGAATCTGATGTTCTATAATTGTCGAATAAAGTAAGTTTTCTCAAGGTTGCATAGTTTTGGAGTTATAAATCAATAACTGAATAAAGTCCAGAAATTTCATTTTTGATTGACAGTACGTTTTGCTTCTTCAGCTCTCGTTCTCACTAGCGGGTCCAGGATTTAATTTTTGGGGAGGAGAGCTTCAGCCCGAAAGCTTTTTTTTCATAAAAATAACGATAATTACTTTGGAAAAAAAGAAAGAAACTAACTACCTATACGAAATGGTGTTTAAGTGATTCCTAAAGTCCTTTTAAATGAAATTACAAGAACAATAATACTTTAAGAGATAATTTTTTCCATAAAACATGGTTATATTTTACCATCTTGGGGGGGGGAGAGACTTCAGCCCGAAAGCCCCTCCCGCCCTCCGTAGATCCGCCCGTGCTCGGTCTTGTACTTCTTTTTCAAATAGCCTACCCAAGCTTTTCTTACATTAAAGTCTTAGAGATTTTTTTTTAAATTTAATTTCTTTTCAGAAAAGATTTTAAAAAATAATGATAATTTATACTTATTCAGACTATGTAATTTATTGATACGAGTTTTTTATCCAATGATTTAAGGCTCTCACTCCTGCCATTTAGAAAAATTGTATTTGTCATACTATTTATATTCTGTGTTATCAGTGAGTAAGGTGTTGTACAACTATCCTATAGGTTTTAGCTACGAATCCAGCAGTAGTAAATAATTATTTGGGTATACCAGTTGTGATCGACCCTGGCCTCAGGAGACACTCCTTGGACATGCCCAGCCTCTATAAAGTGGGTACTCTTAATTAAATAATTAATTGAGGAGAGAAAAAACCTTGCGGTTGGGCCTGATCTCGATCAAATCACCTCCTTGCACACCTGTCGATCAAGAACATTACTACTTTATACGCACTCAAATAAAACGGTATGGGTTTTCTTTCATTTTTTGTATTTAAGTTTGTAATATTATAGTTTTTTATGCTTAGGAATCGAGCAGACTGGTCCAGAGTCAGCAGAAATTCAACCTGTAGCTTAAACAATGACGGAGTTGATTCGATTAAATAGTTATGAAGGAGGTAATAAACAACTCCTTTAAACTCCTGACGTTCTCTCTAAGATCGGGAACTTTCCTCAAAGACTGCGGTGACCTAAAAGCCACTTTGTGAAAGGGCTCTCGCACTCACACACTCACACCGGGACACCGCCCCCACTCGCTTCTTCTCTAACCTTGTTCGGGTAAAACTTGTAACCACTTTCCGGGACGACACCGTCCCCATTTCCATATAAATTAAACTGTCTACCATCGACCTTCATGGAGTGAAAATAGAAAACGGTGGGGTGACAGTTAGCCGAGCGGAAAGCCAAGTCAAATTATGTATTTCTCACTTGGTTTCCCAATCTCAAATACATTAAATATCCTGAATTATTCATGCTACTGCGGAACAAGTAAGGATCTATGAGCTTAGTTGCTTTTAACCTCACAAAGGATGACACGTGTGCTCCATCTCTTAATCAATCTTCGTTAGTAATTAATTAACCGAAATTCTATACAGTAATTGACACGGGTCGCGGTCGCATTAAATTATTACTTGAGGTGAAAGAGTTTACATAGGAGTTTGCCTCCATCGAGCTAATTAAATTGCCGCCTGAGAGGTTTTATTCACAGCTTGCCTCGCTAATGTTTTTGTAACTTTTAGTTCATAATTAACTTTCTTAACTAACAAAGTTGACCAACCTGCAAAGAAGTACTCCATCATTGAGGACGGCATAGAAGTTGTCCATGTCTCCAGAGGTGTTGCTGGGCTCCCCGATGATGGCCTTGATCCATTCCAGGCACTCGGCAGCATGTTCTTCATTGTATTTACTGTTGATCTGGAAAAAAAAAAGATGAATAAGTTAGTTAAAGGAGATCGTCAAATAATTTTAAAATTATCGATGTTTTTACTATAACATCCAAAATCTTGCAACTACCCCTAAAGTTTCATAAATATTGGTCTCATAATTTTAATAAGTTGCTTGGTGTAACTAAAATCATTAACGAATATTTAATGGTTGGCCATTGTATATTATAGAGGAAAGAGATAGTCCGGGGTGGGGTTCATAAACAGAATAAAATAATGGAAATACTATTTTATTTAAATGTTCAGTTTCAGTTTCAATATTTTATTTAAGTCATTTTTAACTGAAACGCCATGCTTCATGCACCACCCTGAAGAAAACCTACAAAGTCGGGTCGAAACGTCGGCTTTAAACAAAATAGTTTTTTCCACTATTTGTGATAAAATTATCTTACGATCCAAGTAGAAGAAAGCAAATGTGTATTTACGAGCTTTTAGTACCTAATTAAATAGACAACGTTTGCCCCTCTCCAGATTGAAAACTCACTAATTCCAAGAATTTTCATAAATAAAACAGCTGTACGTTACGATAAGATGAAGCTATTCACGAAGTTTCAGGCGGGTGTTAATAATTCGATAAAAAGGGGTCTGTACCACGGACTATAAGCAGATGTGTTGTCAAATTAAAAAGAAAAGTGGTATTTCAGACATGAGGAAGCATAATGCCCAGCAGTCACTCTTCCTGGTCTTTATTTATTTTTTTAATTTAGGAAAGATCTCTCATCCACCACCTTTTCAATCATGTTCTGATAGTAATGTCTTTTATAAGTCTATTGTTATGCCCATGTACCTATATGAAATCGGAAGCAGATAGTCTCGTGTTAATCGATAGTTGGTTGTCGTAAGTCGGTATGTGAAGTTTTGTTGCTTACGTATGTTTTTATGGATTTAAGTAAACATATTTATATATTTAGTTTCTGTCTAATTTTGAAATGGGAAAAAAGAGTGTATAGTATTTTCAGTTGCTTGTTTTAAGAGTGATTATTTTCATTTCACTAAATAAATTAAAGCATCCGATGTTATATAATAAATTATGTAGCTAAAAGTTTGTTGATAATTTTACGATTGTATTTTCAAATAGTATGTAACTAATTAAAATACTTTGATAAATTGAAAAAAAAAAATATATATATTATACATCTTGCTAATCTTTTCACGCTTCATTCAACCTTTCACCAAAAGTTAACCGGAATTTATATTTTATATTTATATCTATATTTTCATATCTACATAAGGTCAGATTGGTAAAAAAGAATCCAAACATCAAACCAGTAATTGGTTTCAAACAGATCAACAGTTGTCCGTATTAATAAACGATTGGGCAGGCATCGCATTCCAATATTATCGTTCATCAACATTTATTAGCTCGGAAGGAAAAATCAAATCAAGCTGTTCTTCACGATGTTTATAATTTAATTAAGAACTGAAAACAACTCTATAATGTTAAGATTTTCTAAAATGTTCCCTACACAGGAGAGATCAAGTTCTAAGAAATATGAATTTCTAATTTATCTCTCTTATCGAGAAGAGAAAGTATCATGCACAAGTAGATGTATCTTCATTGGTAAGATGAAAGAGACGGATGACTCATGTTCCAGCTGTGGTAATAAAAGTTTTCTGCAGCTGTCTAGGCAGGTGGGAAGATAGTTGATCTGCTGTCGATTGCTAAGGCCAATTTTCTTAATGGTTTACCGATGAAGAATGTACCAAAGTGATTAGTAAGGTGCAGATGACTGGATGTACTTAATATTTTTTTACATGGTTAGCCAAAATAGATTTTGTATTTCAGAATCGTGACGTAAACAGGGTGTCTCAGTTCTGGGTGGAGATTCATGATATAATTTTCAACAAAATTATTACAATATTCGAGCGGAAAAGAAGTTAATAGTCCGTGGCACACGCCCCTTTTTATCAAATTATTAACATCCGCCTGAAACTTCGTGATCAGCTTCATCTCTTCGTAAGCTACAAATATTTTATTTACGAAAATTCTTCGAGTTGGGCCTTTTTCAATCTGTAGATTGTTAAATTTTGTTTATTTAATTAGGTACTAAAAATTTGTAAATACTCATTTGCTTCCCAATATGAATCGTAAGATAATATGAGCACAAACTCGAGAAAAATATTGAGTCCCATGACATTTCCAAAATGTCAAAATAACGAGGTTGTATAGGCCAAATGGCCCAATATTTTTGCAGGCCACCCTTTTTCTCGATTATTTGATCAAATTATCTTACGATCCAAGTGGAAAGCAAATAGCCTTATACGAGATTATAATACCTAATTAAATAGACCAAGTTTGCCGACCTCCAGATTGAAAACGCCTCAATTCCAAGAGTTTTCATAAATAAAATAGTTGTAGGTTACGATGAGATGAAGCTATTTACAAAGGAAGCGATAACACAGAATATTTAATTCAGATAATTAAAAATTGCTTCATAGTAAACTATACAAAACGTCCTTCAAATACAATTAAAGTTTATCTTTGTCAAAACTAGAGGTGCCCTGAAGGGGATTTCATGGCACAATTTGCGCCATCAAAATTTTTGAGAGGGGCAAATTTCGGCAAGTTAATGAATTTTCGGAGTGAAAAATTTCAAACAAGGGAATAAGAAGAAAAAGATTGACCACAGCGAGTTTAATTGTCTATGATCTACGATTTTTCTAATTCTGCTTCCGCTTGGACAGTTTTCAAGAATAGGATAGCAATAAACTTTATCGGGAGGGGTGAGGGAAGTTTATGCGCCATCTACCTTGGAGAATGGGCACCCCTGGTCACAACCATTCAAAGGGAACTTTTGAGGGGCCAAACTACGCTAAGTTGTATTTTTCATTGAATCATGGATTATTCGAAATGTTTTTTTGTTATACTACAACTATACTACAGATATAGATACTCTTTTATAAAAGCTTCCTTGTTTAATAAGAATTAATTGCATATAAATATTTGAGATTTTTTTTTTTGGAATAGAATTAAGATTCACCTCGGTTTGTGCGAAAAAATATATGATTTGATATTCTGTTCCTCCAGAGTACCTTAATTTTCAGCAAAAATTGCAGTCGAGAAATAATTTCTTCTTTTTCTTGCGACCTGACATCGATTTTGTCTAGTTTACAAGAAGCAATTTTTAATTACACGAATTAAATACTTTTTGTCTTATCGCTTCCTAAAAAAGAAAAAACGTGGCCAACTTAAGAAAAGACAAAATTGGACCATACACCAAATGAAATTTTTTGTTGGAAATTTTGTCTAGAATAACCTCACAGAGTTTGGCCATAAAGAACTGAGGCACCCTGTATAATGATTGGTAAGAATCACAAGCAAATAGTGGATACTGTTGGGATAACAGATCGCGCATCAAACAACCTAAAATCAGTACTTCTTTTATTATTAAAATTGGAAATGCCATATTTCTAAAATTATCCTTCAAACTCTTGTTATAATCTGACATGAAAAGAAGATATGATAAAACTAAGTATATTTGTTTAGAATGGTTTCAGTCATTATTAGTACTCCTAATTGAACAATTCTATTAAGCCGATGCCGAACAATCTAGAATTTTAGAAGCTATGCTAAAGCCACAGAATTTAGAATTTGTCTTAAATTTTAAAAGTGGCAGTAGGAAAATGGATTGTATTTATTTTGAAACATATTGCTTCCTCCTCTTCTTTTGCTAATTCCTCAGTGATATTTCGCTAGACCGATTTCGTCCACCGATCTCTGTCATCGTATTCTGTCTGCTCTTATCTCAGTGCCCTCAAATCACTGAACTACTTCGCTTTCCCATCGATACCTAAATAGTGGTGAACTATTGTATGAATGCGCTTGGAGCTATCCTAACTTACACCAATTAAGCGACTTTAGACCAAGAAGTATATTTGTCATGTGTTGAATCTATAAGTAAAATATTGCTGGAAAGTGAATTGTATTTTAGTGAGGTATGCTTCTTCGTTAACATCATCCTAAAATATCGAGTTTCCTAACTTGACAGCTGATTCATAATTTGATAGACGTTATTCTTTTTCAGAGGCACCCAATCCAGTGTTCTATTGATTTTCAATCAGTATTGCTGGACGCATTAATTTTAATTCTAGTGCGGTCTTTGTTTTTCAATTTTTTTCCAAACTAATTTTTCATATAGAAACAGCTTTTGACCACAATCAACACGAATTTTTATTCATAAATTGATAAAAATCCTTCGAAAGTTTGTTCTATTTTTTGTTGGTGTTTGTTTAATTTACCATTCAGTATTTTTTGGTCTGCTTGCAGTGCGTTCTTTTCGATTTCGATACAATTGTTTGGGTTTCCTAGGTAGACAGCAGTCACTTCCAAACAATACTACAGGTGTAGGTTAATTGTCCTGACGGAGCCACCTGTTCCAACAGGTGAGGAATGTACATTCCTTCATCCTTCTTGCTAATTGGAAGTGACTCTATCCCGAAAGTCTGTCCTTGAATGGGTAAACCCTCTGCGGTTTCGTTACCATAGAAGGGAGGTGGCCACCGGCCATTCTTCCACTCCTCAGACCATCAACAGGATCCTTCTGTCCCATAATATTAGATGAACCGGCAAAATTAAAGAAAAAAATATGTTTCTATCGCATTTAGAAAGTCTTGAAGTACATTGTGACATAATACTTTGTCAAGATAACGTTATCTGTCTGGGAAGGTTATAGCAAGGACTACAACCAAATCTTGGCCTTTTTAAATGCTTTTATTTAATAAATTCTTTTAATAAGTAAGGTAAGCGCACCAGTGATGGACATAGTAAGGAATTTTTTTGTATTTTTTATGTCACTGTAATTATTATAGTTATAAACTTCTCCGTTGGACATTTAGAATCTTTAGGGTCTCATTTTTTCTATTTAATACTTTAAAATTCAAAAAGAAAAAAAAAACGTTTTAAACTAGTAACAGACACACCGAAATTCAATTGTTCTAGTAATGGATAGGGGATAAGTACCAGTCATAGAC